CAAAGTTATCTTTCTTTTCAGACTTTATAAGCACAGTGGCCTGGTACAAAGCCAAAATATTGGCAAATGCCATTGTCAGTAGTGGTATTCAAAAAGCATATTTTGGAGAGTTTCTGAATGCTTAGACTACACATATCATAGAATATCCATTATACAAAGTTGTAACCAGAAGAGGCTGAATACTGTTCCTGGGAATTTTTTAGGTCACCTCCTCTCTAAATTTTTCTATAATTGTGTGATTTGGTGCATTACTCAGAAAACTGATAACGGAACACAGGACTGCTTGGGAAAGCAGATCTTTTCAAACTTTCTTAATGGGGCTGTGGAATGGATCAGTATGGGTTTGAGTGGAAGCATTGCACACTTGGACATTTCTTAGGCACTTCATCTGATACAGTATAATATTTTGACTAGAGAACTAGAATAACATAGGGACTGCATTTCACACATGAAATACATTGCAAAAGAGCTGATAAATCTCAGCTGTATGTAAGCAAAGAACTCCCAGCAAGTGTTTCAAGAGAAATTCTGCAGGAATCAGTTTTTGACTACATGGTGCTTAATCCATTACCTTAAAGAGCACAAATCATCAATAAAAAAGGTCAAGTTATGTCTTGCCTATACCTTAGGGCTGTAAGTAATTCATACAGAATGTTTTGAAAAGACTGGAGTGGATTAGTGAAGACCTGAAAGAGTCATTAGAGAGTTGGAAAATATGCCATCAAGCGAAAAATTCAGAAAATGCAATGCCTGTAATAACTCAGATTTAAGAGGTGACTTGAGGACACTGCATAAGTATGTAGGGAACAAAACTTTAGTAACAGGTGTCTTCAGTGTAACCAACAAAAGTTAACAGAACCCAGTGCCAGAAAGCTGAAGTTAGAAAAATCAGACTAGAAACAAGCTGACTTCTTCCATCCCACATCCCTCTCCTTCACATTTGATAACATTTTTTAAGGGCTTATTTTTCTTGTTTGCCAGTTTTTTGAGTAATAACTGAATGCTTTTGCAAAGCAATTCGTAAATGTATTCAGGAATGAACAAGTGTAGGAAATTTCTGCCTCTTTTGATATGTTGAAGCTTTAAAGAAGAATCTGGATATTTTATTCCAAAACTGACATCTAGACACATTCAGTCACTGCCTACCTTTATGGATGCTTGAAAAGCATTTGGGGTCCCCTGCACAGCCTGGCAAGTACAGGAACAGCCTGGGCAGCAAGAACCAGCCTTATTCTCTTCTCTTACCTTGAAACAGGTCTGTTAACCAAGGGAACTAACACCTACATTTCTCATGCTCTCTATAAGGCACCAAGTCCTCCAGGAACTGTTGTCACAAGTCCAGGTATTGCAGGACCAGTCTTTCAGGAGTCAAATCTGTTTTAAGGGGATGACATTTTTAAGAAAGCACCAAAACTTCTGAACACATATTTAACTCAAATTTCCTATCCATCTATGCTCAGTGTAGGCTTTGGTGCCTCCTGAACATATCCCTTTATCTTCTCAAGGTGGGTGACAAGCCAGACTTATCTGGGAACCAGCATGGGAGCTGGAAGAAAAGATGCTTTCAGTCTGCAACATTTAATCAAACTAGTTCATAATAGCTACAGTTCTACCAGAGGAGCCTTTCAACAGAATATATTGCTCCTGGGTCACTTTGTATATTTATATCTTTATACCTGCTACGATGTAGCCTGCTTCAATTTAATAGTATTAATACTGTCAATTAATTTCATTAAAGATGAAATCAGAGTAAAACTCAAGTCAGGAGCACTCGGGGTATGGCTTAAATTACGTAGGGAAATGTTGCAAATGTAATTGTATTGTACACATGTTGAAAGTTACAGGCAAAAGTAAACTGTATGAATATAGAGAGGCAATCCCAGTATGATGTTTCAGCTACTTGAAGTGGGTGAGTGGGTTCTGCAGATAAATTCAGTACACTTTTGAGCTATTGCAGTCATTTGAAAATCTCTCTGTAACTAGAAGGAATTCATGTTGCATCTTTATTAATTACCTGCAGATCTAGCACTTTCAAGAATCAGTGAATTAATTTCATTGAGAATTGAACCCAAGAAAGAGCATCTCATCTAATTAAGGCTGGTGCTTCCAATGATGGCCTTCAATCTGCATACATATTGTAAGATGTGCTTGAACAATGGCAGTGCAATCTGGCTTATCAACTGAATTACTAGTACACACACATTTTCATATTTCCAATCATAGGGCCATGATACAAACTTTCAGTGACTTAAAAATACAGACCATTTCCCTAGAGATTAATAAGGACACTTAATAGTACAGCAGCAGCTTTATTATTTTACTTATGAGCATTTCAGACCTTGCATGTGAATAGAAAAAAAAAATGGAGTTATTCCACTGTCAAAAGCTGTAGCCTTTATAGCACTGACACCATTTTAATATACTAATCTTAACCTTTTGGGTTTTTTTTTACTACAGTCTAATATTTTCTTCTTTGTGATAGAATCTAACAAAACATTGATCTAGGCCTTTCAGAAATATGACTCGCTAAAAACTTTGCTGTCTGCAAATACTTTATCATAGTCAACACAAAGGCAGTAGAATAAGTAAGAATGACAGCAAGTGCAAGTAAGGGAGACACGAACTTTAAAACACATTCACATCATAGGGAGCTGACAATTTCCATACAAATGACAGCACAGGTATAATGCCAAATTTTCTTAAAGTTCTACTGAATCAGAATCGTGCCCAGTGAATAGCAAACAGTAGCTAGGAGGCACTTAATTTGTACAAAGGAGGCACTTAACTTGTACAAATGCATTCTTAGTTTAAGGAGAAAAAAACAGAAAAAGCAAACAATAATTAAAGATGCTGCAGAACATGGACAAGCGATAAAGACAGGACTGGTTTCTCATCACTAGGCTGTCCTCATCTAACCTGCTCGTTTCAGGCAAAGGAAATGCATTCGATCTAATCTACCTGAACTTCAGCATAGCATTCCCACAGGAGAAATTATTAGTTTAAATAGGAACTCGGAGAAAGACTGTAAGTACGGACTTAGCTAATAATAGGAAACTGAGATGAGAGAGTTCAAAGTGAAAAGTTTTTAGTGATTTCTGAAAGATCAGTTTGAGGATCTTATTAACATTTAATTTTTTCAGTCATTAAATCAGCAATCAAAAGTGAAAGTTTCCTGGCAAAACACGAAAGTCAATTGGTATTGTAAGTGGAAAGGAAAAGAAGGATCTTACTTGGAAAGGACTGAATTATCTGAAGAAAGAAAGAATTTAAAGTGAGATTAAATGTAATAGTATTAAAAAAAGATCAGGTATTAGCTAGATTCATCCGCTAGAAAACAGGTGCAGCTGCATATATCAAGGATACAAGGAAAGCAGCGGATGTTATGTACCTTGACTTCAGCAAAGCTTTAGATACTGTCTTCCATAACATCCTCATAAGGAAGCTTAGGAGCTGTGGGATAGATGAGTGGACAGTGAAGTGCATTGAGAACTGGCCGAGTGGCAGAGCTCAGATGATTGTGATAACAGGTACGGAGTCTAGCAGGAAGCCTTAATTAGTATTGTTCCCCAGGGGTCAGTACTCAGACTGGTTTTGTTCAACATCTTCATAAATGATCTGGGTGAGGGGATAGAGCGTTCTCTCAGCAAGTTTGTTGATAAAGAGCTGGGAGGAATGGCTGACAGAACAAAAGGCTGTGCTGCCATTCAGCAAGAGCTGGACAGTCTGGAGACTTGGGTGGAGAGGAACCTAATGAGGTTCAACAAAGACAAAGGTAGAGTTTTGCACTTGGGGAGGAATAAGTGTATGCTTATTCTCCCCGATTCCATGCTTAAGTACAGGTTAGGGATTGAACTGTTGGAAAGCAGCTTTGCAGAGAAGGACCTGGGTGTCCCAGCGTACAATGTTTGCCATGAATCAGCAGTGTTCTCTTGTGACCAAGAGTGCCAGTAGTATCCTGGGGTGCATTAGAGTGTGGCCAGCAGGTTGAGGGAGTTGATCCTTCCATTCTCCTCTGCCTTGGTGAGGCCACGTTTGGAGTTGTGTGTCCAATTCCAGGCTCCTCAGTTCAAGAAAGACAGGGAACCGGCTCTGCCTTGGCTGGCACTCTACACAGCACGGTTCTTGGATTTGCAGGGCTTAGTGATTTTAGGGCTGAAAACGATGATGAAACCACTTCATCTTTGCCTTTTGCATTCCTTTTCACTGTTTTCTGTTTGTTTGTTTTCAACCTGCAAACAAAAATCACAATGCTGTGGTACAAAGCAGAATTTTTTGCTTCTTTGTAAGTGGCAAAACCCTGTAAAACTACTGATAGAAACGCCACACTGCCTTCTCCACCCGGACGGTGCAGCTGCGGGGACAGCTCAGCAGCGGTGTCCTCCTGCACCCGACTCGCTTATTCCACCGCCTCTCGCAGCATTTTCCCTGAGGGGACTCCTCCAAGCTCGGGCAGGGGCGGACACACCGCATGATTCACCGGGGACTGTTTGCCTTGGCCCCGGAGGCCCATCGTGCGGGGAATGGGATTTCCATTCCCCAACGCGTCCTTTGGTAGGCTTCCCTGGAAGGCAGCGCGGGCCCACACGCCGCCGGCGGAGGCTCCACGTTCCCGTGCTGTAGGGAGAGCCCCTGGGCCGGGGCAGGGCCAGGTCTGACGGCTGCGGGAAAGGGGCTGGAAAGGGGGTGAGACGGGGACACCGCGGCCGGGAGCTTGCGTCCCTCAGCGGAGCGGCGGGAAGGACGGAGCCGACGCGAGGGCTCCCTGCCCCGCTCCGTCCCTCGCGTCAGGCGGGAGCGCAGCCCCGTGCCTGGCGGGGCGGGCGGGCAGGAGCGGGACCGCGTCCCTCAGGGCGCCGGCAGCTCCCGGGGCAACCTCTCGCCAGCCAGGCTGCTCCCTCCCCTGGGGCTTCCTCCGCCCGCGGCCGCCCGGGAGGCGGCGGCTCCCCTCAGCCCGCGGCGCTCCCGGGGGGGAGGGAAGGGGAGCGCTGTCCGGGGCCGCGCCGAGGGGAGGAGGCTCCCGCGCTCGCTGCCGGCCTCTGCCCGCCGTCCAGCGGAGCGGCCCCTCAGCTCGCAGGTAAGCTCCGCTCCGCCCTGCCCCGCCGCTCCGGGGAACGGCACGGCCGCTGTTACCTCCGGCCCGGGGCCCCGCGCGGCGGAGGGACCGTCCTGCTCTGGGCCCCGCCGAGTGTGGGGCGGCCGAGCCGGGGGCTGCGGCGGCGGGCCGAGGGAGGCGGGGGGCCTTGCGGGGTGCGGGCGGCTCAGAGATCAGGTCCTGCAGATAGCCTCGCTGGAGGGTTTCCCTTCTGAGCGCGCGGTGCTGAGGAAGTTCTCCGGGTGCCGTGTTCTCCCGCGCGTGTTTCTCTAGCTCGTGTAGCATGCGCTGTAAGGGGAAAAACTGACCGTATTTTACGAGCGGTGCGAACATGAAGCTGACTTTACCTAGGAAGGTTTGCAGCGCGCAGCCTGCAGGTGCTTTGCCGGCCTGCAGCACAAGCAGCGCTGTGTAGCCCCGCAGGTAGGGCCGGGAGCTCTGCCCGCGGGCGGTGTGACCGGAGGGGAGGGACAGCGGGGCTCGCGGCGTGCCACGGAGCTGCCCTGGAGACCCAGCCTGGGCGGTGCTTTGCAGCCTTGCAGAGGTGGTTGTGGCATCTTTAATAAGTGCATATCGCTGTTTCGGAAGACAGTACTTGGAGTGTCAGACTGACCTGTGCCATGATGCTTGATAGTGCTGGCTCAGAGAGAAGATTGCAGCCTCTTGATCTATGTAATGCTTCATAGAATCATAGAACGATGGAATGGTTTGAGTTGGAAGAGACCTTGAAGATCACCTAGTTCCAACCCTCTGCTATAGGCAGGGACACCTCCCTCTAGACCAGGTTGCTCACAGCCCCGTCCAGCCTGGCCTAGAAGGCTTCCAAGAAAGGGGTATTCATAACCTCACTGGGCAACCTGTTCCAGTGTCTCACCACGCTCACAGTAAAGAATTTCTTCCTAATATCTAGTCTAAATCTGCCCTTTTCCATCTTAAAAGCATTTCTCCTTGTCCTGTTCACAGAATCACAAAATGGCCAGGGTTGGAAGGGACCTCAAGGATCTTGAAACTCCAATCCCCCCTGCCACATGCAGGGCAACCATTCTCCCCATTTTATACTAGACCAGGTTGCCCAGGGCCCCATTCAATCTGGCCTTGAACAGCTCCAGAGATGGGGCATCCACAACCTCACTGGGCAGCCTGTTGCTACATGCCCTTCTAAAAAGCCCGTCCCCAGCTTTCCTGTAGGCCCCCTTCAGGTACTGGAAGGCCACAATAAGGTCTCCTTGGAGCCTTCTCTTCTCCAGACTGAGGAGCCCCAGCTCTCAGCCTGTCCTTGTAGGGGACATGCTCCAGCCCTCTCTTTGTGGCCCTTCTCTGGACCCACTCAACAGCTCCATGTCCTTCTTATGTTGCATCACCTGTATCTGTGATAAATACCTGTATCTGTGATAAATGCCCAACCTGTATCATTTCCTAAATGCCTGGGTTTTGTTTTCCTGCCATCATTCATGGGGTCAATGAACCTGACTGAGATCTGGAAAGGTGGCATGTTGCATTTTTGCTGTGCTACTCTCAGGCAGCTGACAACATCAGAAGAAACTGTCACACAGGATCCCATAATAAATTTGTAGGTCAAGAACTTAATAGAATACACATTGGGCTTTTATAGCAAAGTCCTGAAACTTGATCCAAAATAATTTTGATTGATATATTGTTCACGTAGATATGACAGCTTTAAACATCAGATTTTTAAGAAGAGGAGTTCCAACTCCTCTGCCACGAGCAGGGTTCTCTGCCACTAGATCATACTGCCCAGGGTCCCATCCAGCCTGGCCTTCAAAACCTCCAGGGGTGGAGTATCCACCACTTCTCTGTGCAACCTGGGCCAGTTGGGTAAAGATGTTCTTACTAACATCTAACCTAAATTTCTACTCTTTTAGTTTAAAGCTATTCCCCCTTGTCCTGTCACTATTACACCGTGTAAAAAGTCGATCACCTTCGTGCTTATAAGCTCCCTTCAAGTACTGGAATTAAACTTGATTTATATCCTAAGGAAAGGTAGCACTTAATTACTTAACGCTGAGATCCTACACCCTGCAGGCAGTATTTATACAATTATTTTACGTGAATCTTTCCATTGACTTCACTGGAATTTCTCACAAACAAACCCACACACGCTTTAGGGCTTATGAGCTGGGACCCAGCTGTAACAGTAGAGACATTTTAATCAGTTCATGTGAGCTAGGGAAAGGCTAATCAGATCTAAATACTCTCCTATGACTTATGAATTGTCTCCATGGGAGGGTAAAGCACTATCCTTTGCTATTTAATTATACCCTGGACATCATTAACAAGCTCTTTTTATACAGTGTAATCACTGTTAGGTTGTTTTCAATCTGAGTAAGGAGTATTGGGAACAGAGTGTGTTCTACCCCCAAAGTACCATTTTGCACTATGCTGGTACTGAGGTCAGTGTGGGTTTGCAAATAGGTTTTAGAACTACGGTGTCTTTCTGCAAACTTTCTGTTTGCAGTTAGTCACAGTCCATTATGGTCTTCACAGAGACAAAACTCAGCAGTTCACATACATATTGTATGTCATATAATATGTGGTTTTATATAAATACCTACTCAGAGTTGTAAAAGTGAAATTTCTCAGTTTTGCCACACAGCTCATCTGCAAACTTAGTGGAAACACTGCTGCCTAGATCCAATTCAGAACCAGAAAGTACAAGTAAGTCTGCCCCTAAGGAACATGATAATGAAAAGGTCTGTTGTCCAAGTGGCAGCTGAAGGAATTGTAACATGGAGATTGATGCTGTCATAAAGTGAAAATTCCCAGCGCTGAAGCTTTCTGTCTGACCACTGGAAACTATGCAGTGTGAGCCATACTGTGGGGGCACTGTTTTACAGCATCACTGGTAACTTTTGTATGACAAGTTTCTGAAATTATTGAAATGATCTTCAGCTCTGTGCAGAGGTCGGATCTGATGACATCGGTGTTCCCTTCTTACCTCAGTTATTCTTCGATTCTGTGATTTGGTACTTACTACTTTTACCTCAGCGATATCAGGAAGCCTGTAAGTGATTTAGATGAGTGAGGTAAAAAAAAAAAAAAAAAATAGATTCCTTAGTGTTCCTTATTTTGTTAGTTGTAGAAAATTAATTTCTGCATGTAGCACGCATACTCTAAGCTCTATACTCTAAGATAATGAAGTCCATTGCGTAAAAGACCCACTATCATAATTACACCTCGCTATAAAATGTAATGCAGAATCAGCGTGCTGATCTTTGCTTTTCCTGATATGTTCTCTGTTTTGGCGTGCATGCTCTTTAAGATGTGTGCATGTGGCTGGCCTCAGTGCTTGAATAGGCAGACTGTTCTCTCCCACCCACAGCGCTCCTCTGACAGCTTCCAGAATGTGGTCTCCCTTACTGCAGCACTTGAGCCACGCTGCGTATGGGAACTGCACAGTGCTGGGTTTGTTGCAAGATTTGGCTGACCACCTGATGTCATTCATATCCCTTTTAGAAACTGCCCTGTTTTGGATCTTCCCTTTACTTTTTGTATACTGTAATGTACAGCCCCGTGCCATTTTGGCTTTATTATGATGGTTTTATTGTAGCAGCAGCAGACAGAATAATTAGGTACACAACTTTTGGCCTGAACTCACTGCAGGCTTTGGTTACTGTTATTGTCTCGATGCTCATTATCTCACATTGGTAAAGGACTTGATGTTGCCAAATCAGCAGTTATTTTTTGTCATTGTAGCTTGCAGTGCTGTTATGAAAGCTACTTGCATTTGAGTTTTTTTGTTTTTTTTTTTTTTTCTGAGAATACACCTCATTTACTAATGTACTTTTACTTAATGGGTTTCCCAGATTCTTTGATAGTACTGACAGCACAAATGGCCTAAGTTAGCCACCTGGAAGGAGCTAATGAATGTATTAATGAGGGAGTGCTGCTCTCCAAGGCTTGGTGTCACCCTGGGTAGATTCATGCACTCCTGTATGCATGCTGGTGCCTGCCTTGAAGACTGGGGAGAAATTTGCAAACTTGGAGCACCTGTAGCCTTGTTCCCTCATAATACTTTAACTGCATCAGTGATTTGTGTTTTAAAGCTGGGGCTTTAGGGGAGTTCTACCTGTACTGTTCTTCTGAGCCTAGCAAAGATGTGCTTGTGCAATAAGGAGTCATGGAAAGTCCAGTTTATCTGTAATGGAACAGGATGACAGTAGTGTGCTCCTTTGTAGGGGTGAATGTTCTTCTGCTGATATGATAAATATCTTCTAGCTGCCCCCACACAACACCTGCATAGCTAGGGCAGATATTTTCCAATGCTCTGAGGAATTCTGTAACTATTTTTCAGATTGGAAAATGCCTGTGTCAGCAGTCCGGTCCAGAAAGAGGGAGGAAATTATTAATAATCTGCATCCCGACATCCATGCCACACACAGTGATTTTAATGAGTAATGGACTGGTAATGCATGTGCTGGCTTGTGGTAGTGAAATACCTTGGAACAAGTTCTAACTGATAGTTAACGGGGCTGTAAAGTGTCTGCTGACTGGTTTTGTTGTTTGTTTTTTTTTTTAATATCTGAGGCAATGGGGATTGAGCATTAGATATCTTCTGGCTTGCTGATTGGTTTTCCCAGCAGCTCACCGTGCTTTCTAGATGGAGAACGTAAACTCTGACTTTACTGGCTTGCATTGATTGCTTGCAGTTTCTTTAACTTCAGGAAAAGTTCTTTTTTTAATCACAGTTTGCTGTTATCTTAAAAATGGGGTGGATAATGAGCTTGAAAGAACTTGAGAACTTCCCTTTTATGCATTTATGGACTTTACAACTAAAGTAGAAGCAGGAACAGGTAACTGGGGAGGAGTATAGGGATGCTGCTGGGCTGTGTAGGGGTGGGGTCAGGAAGGCCAGGGCCCAGCTGAAACTGAACTTTGCACAAAGAAGAATAAGAAAGGCTTCTACAGGTACATCAACTGGGAAAGGGAGGTCCAGGTGTGCATACCTTCCCTAGTGAGCAATACAGGTGGGCTAATAACAGCAAAGAGAAGGCTGAGGTGTTTGTCAACTTTTTTGCCTCAGTCTTCACCACTGACTCCTCTACGCAGCCCTTGGGTGGATGGTTCTGAAGGTTGGGACTGCGGGGGGAGCACTGCTCCTCCTGCTGTAAGCAAAGGTCAGGTTTGTGACTGCCTGTGGAACCTGAACATCCACAAGGCTGTGGGTCCTAATGAGACTCATCGCAGAGTCATGAGGGAGTTCACTGACATAGTCACCAAGCCACACTCGATGATATTTGAAGAGTCGTGGTGGTCAGGTGAAGCCCCTGGTGACTGGAAAAAAGGTGATTGAGCATCTGTTTTGAAGACGGATAGAATGGATGACCCAGGGAGCTGCTGACCTGTTAGCTTCACTTCTGCACCAGGGAAGAGCATGGAGCAGATTCCTGGGAATATATGCTAAGGCACATGGAAATTGGAATGTATGGATTTGCTGAGTGGACTGTTCAACGGACAAGAAACTGGTTGCAAGATTGTACCCAGAGAGTGGTGGTGAATGACTAAATGATTGGATGGAGATTGATGACAAGGGGTGTCCCTTAGGGATCAGTACTGGAGCCAGTGCTCTTAAATAACTTCATCAGCGACACCGGCAGTGAGATTGAGTGCACCCTCAGCAACTTTGACACCAAGCTGCGTGGTGCAGTTGACACAGCTGAGGGATGGTATGTCAGCCAGAGAGACCCAGACAGGCTCAAGCAGTGGGCCCAGGTGAACCTCATGAGGTTCAATCAATCCAAGTATAAGGTCTTTCGGGGGTCACAGCAACCTCTGCTATCAGTACAGGCTGGGGGATGTAAGGATGGAGCATAGCCCTGCTGAGAAGGACCTGGGAGTAGCGGTGGATGGCAGGCTGACCATGAGTCGGTAATGTGCTCTCACAGCCCAGAGTGCCAGCTGTATCCTGGACTGAATGAAAAGAAGCATGGCCAGCAGGGCAAGGGAGGTGGTCCTGCCCCTCTGCTCTGTGCTGGTGAAGCCTCACCTGGAGGACTGTGTCCAGATGTGGAGTCCTCAGTACAGGAGAGACATAGACCTGTTGGAGTGTGTCCAGAGGAGGGCCACAAAAATGATCCAAGGGATGGAACGCCTCTCCTGTGAGGATGAGCTGAGAGAGCTGGAGCTGTTCACACACCTCTGGACACACTCCAGCCTGGAAAAGAGAAGTCTCCAGGAGACCTGAGGGCATCCTCTCAGTGTGTAAAGGGGGGGTTGTAAGAAAGATGGAGACAGACCCTTTAGCATGTTACGTTGTGATAGAATAAGGGGAAATGGTTTCAAACTAAAAGAGGGGAGATTTAGATTGGATGTAAGGAATAAGGTTTTTTTATATTAAGGGTGATGAGATACTAAAACAGGTTGCCCAGAGAAGTGGTGGATGCCCTGTCCCTGGAGACATTCAAGGTCAGGCTGGATGGGGCTTTGAGCAACCTGGTCTAGCCGTACGTGTCCCTGCTCACTGCAGGGAAGCTGGACCAGATGACTTTTGAAGGTCCCTTCCAACTCAATAATAGTATGATTCTAAAAATACTGAAGTTATGTCTCCTGGCAGCTTAATGAAAATAAGTGTATCTTAACTGTCTGTATCTTAACTATCAAACAATGAAAGCTGAAGTCATCTTTGTAGCAGTAATTGCTATCTGTGGTGCCTTTTTGTCTTCCTTTTCCTTCCCAGCAATGATGAAAAGCTATATAAGGTTCAAGAGAGGGGATGCTTTCTGCACTTAGTAAAGGTGTTAAAGTCCTGGGTTAATGCTGAGAATTAATTATTCCTTCTGTACATTGAGCTAGTTCTGGTGGCAGCTGGAGAAGGTGGAGAGGCAAGGGTCTGTGGACTTGCTGTATCTGATTCAGCCTTGGGAAGGAACTCGTACTGCAGGGTGAGGATTGAGACCACCCAGAGCAGCAAGAAGCACAAGCTGAAACATTTTACTCTCTGGTTTCCTAGTTTGTTTTTCTGTATGATCTGACCAGTGAAAACATAAATGAAAAAGGTGCCCAAATAAAAAAGTTGTAGCCTTTGTGGCTTTCAGGATCAGAGGAAGGGTTTCCTAATCATCTGTGCAAAAGAAGTTTCCCTAAAGTGGGGTAAGAGATGGAAGAACTCTGACTGACTGAAGAACACTGGCATGAACCACAGAGCATCTCTTTCCTTGTTTGAAAGCTGTCTCTTGTTTAAGAGTTAACAGGGGAAAGAGAGCAAATATTTATAACGTGCACCATGCAATGGAGAAGGTCATTGATACATCACTTCTGGCCCTGAAAAGTTAGTAGCATCTCTGTTCAAACCACAGCATTACTTGCTTCTGAGAAGACTGACTTCCATAGAAGGGTATTTAAAATGGTAGAAACAGGCTTGTATCGTTTGAGTGTTGTCCACTGAAGGAAATGTGATTCTGAAAGATGGAGCCACAATTTCATTTTTCAACATTCTTGCACCGTAATTCATGATGTTTGAAAATGCATTAGAGGGTATCAAAAATCATTCCGTGGCGTGGCCATATGGCTGAGTAAGCATGGGTAAAATTGATAAGAAAATACCTTGGAGAGTTGAACTCTTATCTAGGAGCCAGCTGGGGAGCAAGGGAAACCTGCAAAGGAGAATGAATCCTTCTTCTTGATGTCTTTTGCTTTAGAGGTGAGGGGGATGTTTGTCATACAGCAGCTTGGTTTGGGGTCAGCCAAGCTGAGTTGTCTCCTGATAAATATTTATTTCAGCTGAGGCAGCAGCTGGAATTGAAGTGCTTGAAACATGTTTTCCAGGTAGTTACTAATAGTAGGTGTTTGTAACTTCAGGAGCTTGCTCTTAGCTTGGGAGAGCATGGGTTAGTCAGCAGCGTGATGCTGCAGAGGGCTTGCCAGCAGCTTGGCTTAGCCTGCTGGGAAGATGAGGTGTTAAATACCAAGTGTGGTGCAGTAAACACCATCCAGCTTCTCAAGTGAAGACAGCAGACTTTCAGAAAACCCAGAAAATAAACAGAACCGTGGGAGGGCTGTGAGCAAAGGAGCTGTGCAACCACAATGCAAACTGGTCATGTAAAAAAGCAAGCAGCAGCAGACACGAGTATGTACCTGGAACTTGTGCAAAGCTCCTGAGTCAAAGCTGCCATCACCTCTACAAAGCAGTATAGATGTTTTCAGTTTGGGTTAAAGGGTGGAGAAAGATGAACATGGGCTTTGATCAGTGGTGCCTTCGATCACATACGCAGCTTTTGGGTTTGGGATTTTTTTTATTTTATTTTTTTTTTAATTTGAAAATTGATGCGATTTCCCATGAATTTTTATTTTGGGTTATCCTTGTGTATTCACACTTGTTGGATGTGGCAAGTAAATGGTGAGAGAGCACTGGAAAAGGTTGCCCAGGGAGTTTGTGGAGTCTCCTATGGAGATGTTCAAGTCTGGATGCCTCCCTGTGTGACCTGTTGTAGGGTACCTGCTTTGGCAGGGGGGTTGGACTCCATGATCTCTTGAGGGCCCTTCCAAGCTCTGCAAATCTGTGCTTCTGTGAAAGCTCTCTGTAAAACATTGCTTTCTTTTGAAACAATTTAAAAGTGCTTGTGAGGGTAGGGGTAGGGGAACTTTGTTAATAGGATGCTTATTGTTCATTTGTTTTCTTTACGACATATGGACCTTTTATGGTGGGACTGCTCTTACGTTTCCTGTTACTGAGTTTTATTGACTATTTAAGCGTGGTTGGGCATTTTGAGGGCAAAGGCTCCCTTTAATTTGCTCTGTGGCAAAATGGCATATGCACCACTGTATTCATATTTGGGAATGCTGAGTAGGATGCACAAAAGGAAAAATAGATTGATACACAGAAAAATAGCTCAGTGTGTAATGGTTATGTGAGATAGGCTTAAGAATCATGCATAAAAATCTCTTTATTAGAAAATATTTACACAATTGTGTATTCTGCCAATGAGTGCCTTGTGAAAAAAAATCTAATTCTTGCCCCAGGTTAACAGGACATTGAGTTGCTTTCTGTAGCAGATGGGCAGCTCTGTGTCATTCTCCTTATGGAGTTTAGGACCCTATTAAAATTGTTTTCAGCATCTTAGTTACTTGGCCAGGAATTGTCATTAAAATATGCACTGTTTTTAAAGTTGCCACTCAGTTTTATGTGAAATTGTCCTTTTTTGGTTGTGAACGTGAGTGTTTTTAACAATTTTTTGCATACCTAGAGAAACTTGTGACCAAACCTCATCATATCACCGTTCCAGGGTGAACCTAGCTGCTGTGGGATAGCATTTTCACAACACAAAACAGTCATGGTTTAGGGAAGGCAGCGCATCTGAGGATGTCAGGTACAGCAGACATGGCTGGAAAGTGAGTCTTAGCTCTCTGCTCGTGTGCAGAGTCAGCCATGGCTTTTGATGGTGCCCTTAACAAACTCCTTTTTTTGTCGAAAAAATTTATTCTTCTGTATGAAAAAACTTCTTAACTGGCAAACTATCGCCAGTTTTAGAAGCCTTCTGGAGTAAACAAGGCTCCACCTGCGTGCTTGTCTTCATGCCAGCAACAAAGGACAGTCTTCTGAAAGAAAAGTGTGAGCGGTTGCCAGTTCACATTTATTGCTGCTGTTTCTGGAATATATTTCTTACACAAGATCTGCATCTAATTTCTTGAAAGTGTGGGTATGTGGGTATATCTGTGTGATGGCACATGATGAGACAGAAGCATTTCAGCTGGATGGTTGGAAAGGTTACAATGTATTTTTCTGTCAAATTACAGAGCTCATCTCTTTCTCTCCTTATTGCAGTTTTGCATCCTTGAATGTCCCTCTACTTCTTGAAAATGAAGACAATGATTGCATGCTACTTTCTGCTGTTTGGGCACGTTCTACTTTCCACTGTTGCTGTCATGGCAAAAGATCTCCCTGGAGGATATTTTACCCGAAAAAGGGATGTTAACTCTCAATCTCTACTGGGTAAGTTACAAAAAGCACAAAAAAACAACAACAGAGAAGTCACCACCAGCACTTGAATCAATTTCAAGTACAAGGATAATAAAGATAAAAAGCACGAGCAGTTGGCCAAACCTTGGCTGAGTTAGTTTATAATAAAAAAGGAGATTGTCATTTTCAAGCAGGAATATGAGAGTTTGGTGGTTTAGCAGCTCTGGAAAGAAGGCGTTTACTTTTGGGATATTAGATTTATTTTATGTAGGTGCTGTAAAATAAGTATTTGCTACAAGATTCTTGTACTGGATAAAAAAAAGTTACTGAAATCAGTAGCTATTGAGATGGGGCCTATTAAATTACTTTTCCTTTGCTCACTGTTTAGTTCAGTGAGAAAATCACAAACTCAGATTACAGACAGATAGCATGGACTTAACTTTGGATAAGGCCTATCTTTATGGCTTCATGATGCACATTAGTAGTAGATCTCACTAAATATCTCCCTCTAGTCAGGAGATGTGACATAAGGAGATGTAAGTGGTCTGCCTCCTTATGCCTTTCACCTAACCTAGGTAACCGAATCACAGGTAAACGTGAGGAGTGTGAAATGTCCAGGGAAGAAGGCAGAAGATGGGAGAATGTGTGACAGGGAGGAGAGCAGTAGGTTTTATCAGAGTTAAATTCTTCTTCATACAAAATGGGATCCTTTAAACAGGTAAAGATACGTGAAGTACCATTCACAATTTGGCATGACTTAGCTTAAAAACCAGAGGTTTTCAATTCCTGTAGAACAAATTTCAGTCAGATGACAGCAGGTTTCTGACTGTCTCAGAACTAATACATGTGGTCTTGGGACTCTTAGGGGTCTGCCACTGGGGGCTGAAAAGCACAGCTCTGAAGACACAGCCCTTCAGAAGGCACAGATGCGGAACAGCAAGAGAAACACCTCCATTCACAACTTATTCAGCGAGACTCTTAATCTTTCTAGGATCCTGAACTCTAAAATGAGATTAAATGACAGCCTTTCCTGAAACTTTCAGTCTTCAGCAAATATCCTGAATTAACTTATTGTTTTAAGAAATGAATTGCCTATTTCCCTAGAAAATGAATGCAATAGTAAGGTGCTATGTAGAGAAAATAAAAGTATAATCTTTCTCACCTTGCTTTATTTTTTTCTGTGACTTTATAAAATTACTCCTATAGTCCCATTTTTATATTTTGAACTGTGGAAAAGAATGGAAAGAACTAGTACTTGCTATCAAATCAAAATGCATAGATTAAATTCTTTCTTTTAGAAGTCAAGCAATTTTGTGGTCCCTACAAAAGCCTGGATCCCTATTCAGTTTGGCATATGCAGGATGCAAACAGTTCTGGCAGATCTCACTGAAAGAACTGTTTCTAGACATTAAATGATGCAAGAGACTGGGGACAGTCTGTGGTCCAGCTCATAAAAGTACGTGGCAGTTTGGAATCAGACTCTTGGGCATTGCTTTCTGTTACAGTAAATTAGGTCACCTGCTTCAAATTCAGCAGTTGTGTATAAACAGTGGCATAGTCAAAACGTGCCTCTCTGCAGAGAACAGAATGTGTAAAATGTGTGCCACTGTGCTCAGAAGCTGCAGCGATCTTTAAATGACATGAGAGAGAACTGGGCCAAATCATGATCTCGGTGACATCAGTTCTACTGACTGAATAAAATCACTGCAGACTTAAAGTAATTTAACAGGGATTAAAAGCTGTACCATCCTGTGTAATATGTGTACAATAAATAGTGGCAGTGACAATTGCTGCTGTTGTGGAAAGACTTGCTTAGCAGGCAGAAGTGAGCAATATAGCTGCACTGAACCAAGAGATACATGGAAAAGCAATAAAAGTTCAGGAGTTTGGGATTTTTTTTTGTTGGGTGGAGCTCTCTGCTTTTAGGACTAAAATGTGGGATTATGCCATTTGAGTATTAACTAGCATCAGTATAATTTAATTCTTTTTCATTTTGTTTTAAGTTTTTAAAACTGAATATGCAGCTATGATTGGTATTTATTGGTAGAGTACAGGCAGTGGCTATGAACAGAAGTAAAAAATCCTTCTGTGGGAGACTGGCAATATGAATAAACAAAATGGAACAGACTAAAAATCCTGTGGTATTGTTCACATACATGTACAGTTACTTCAGGATCAAGCTAAATTGGGATCGATCTGACTTTTGGCAGCCGTATGCTTCATAGATTCCTTAGTTATCTTAGGGCTAATAGGTTATGTTTTAAGGGAACTTTCAGAAGAATTGAGCTATGTCATTTCTGTGTTTTTCTTACTGTCTTTCTGCTAAGCCTCAGTGTGTGTTGTTTTCATTTTTCTAGATCTTTGCATGGGTTATCATTGTTTAAAATTATTACTGTAGCTAGTGATTGCCATTAAAATTTGATGTCTTGTTGTGTAGGCGTCAATTGGACGTCAGTAAAGCATTTGGAACTCAGTGTGGCTTTTGAAAGACAGTCTACTTTGGATAGGTTTGACTTTTCACACTTTGCTTTTTTTAAATCCTGAAGCAAATCCCTGGGTATTTAAAACTTGTCAACTGTGCTGATTTAATTAACTTTGTTAGTATTGTCATAAATCTTCCTTGCAGTGTGTTAGCTCTAGAATAAATGTGATTGGTTCAGAGATAGAAAATGTATGTGTATTTCTTGTATTCACAGAATTTACATTAAGTTGTTGGAAATTAATATAAAGGATCATTTCCATGGTTCTGCATGTACTTGTGAAATAACAGAAAGAGAAGGGGTGGCCCATGGAATCTGTCTTTCCTGGAGCAGAGGGCAGTTCCCTCTCCTCTTAAACGATACAATAACTAAAACTGGTGTTCTCTTTCCTCTCATCTGTAGTTTGATCCCAAGTATTGGATGTTTTTGCTTATCCTGGTATCTTAAAGGAAATCTTTTGCTTCAAAATCTTCTAATGATATTATTGGAGCTCTGAAGAGTTTTTACTGAGCTGTCTGACGAAATCTTTGTTCCTGCTGAGTGCAGCTGCTTTGTTAGATTACATACAGATCAGTGAAAGCACAGTTTGCCAGCTGAGCTTTGCTTTTGGATACTCAGGAAAAGAGTAATGGAAATAAAGTTGGCTACGTGTTTCTCAGTATAAAATAATGTCTATTGCATTAGCTAATTTCCTTCAGGTGTAACTGAGATGGACCTCTGCACTTAAATTGGCTGATTGACCAAGGTATGTATCAGTTGTCCAGAGTGGTGGTTACCATACTGTGATTTCAGGCTCACAGCAGCTGTCCACAGCATCTTTCAGCAGGTTGCATGTTCAGAAGTGACAAATGCCCAGTCCTTGCAAGATATGCTGGACATTGTGTATTAGGGAAGGACGGAGGGGGTGGGGGCAGGAGGCACCGTGATGTTCCTACTGCATTTTTGGCATTTATTGTAAAAGAAGGCAAAGCAAAACTTCAAAACTGTGCTGAACTCACAATTGTGGGTGTTGTGGTTTTTTTGTGAACTCTGATCTTGTAAACTTAAAACTGATCATTTATTTCATGTCACATGGGCATGTTTCTTTGGAGAGCTCTGAGGTGGATGCATGGGAATTTAATTAGTTGTGGAACAATATTCTAGCAGTTACATTCTATCTGCTCTTTAGGAATTTACACCTAAAACATACATCTACCTGTTTTTGGAAATAACTACATAAGTGAGCGACAGTGCTAAGCAGGAAGCATTCCTGCATGATACCAGAAGAAAGAAGCTACAAGAGATTTACTGATACTGCAAAAAACTGAAAGAAAGGGAGGGGAAAGGAGGCCAGGAGGGAAGTGTACTTGGCCGCTGTTCAGTAGAAACTGCTGCTGAGCTCAAGTGTCTCGTCTGTGTTGAATTACATTTTGCAGCAAAATATATAATGATTTATCTCTTGGTTGTATGTATGTGGTTTCAATAATGATACAAAGGGAAGCTATGAATTACACAGTGCTCTCTGAATTTATGAATCACTGCTTCAGTCCATTAAAATTATTTCAAACATCCTTATATCCAACCAAGCTCTTAAGCTGGTGCGTATGTAACTTCAGGGCTCTAGAGCATTGTCAGGTTAACTGTACAGGTTTAAATTTTAGACACAACTAAGAGCAGAAAATACATGATGAAAGTGAGTGCACTCTGTAATGCTTCTGTGAAGTGCAGAAAAGATTTTTGTTTAGTTTTGGTGGAGTTCATTGTACATTTATATGCTGAGGGCTGTCCAGAGATCTCTAAATCCTGCTCATGTAGGCTACTGAACCACACAATAACTGCTGTAGAAATCTTATTTACAGCCTCACCATAAGTGTGTTCATGTTATTTTTCCATATAGATATAATTCTTCCAAGTTTTTTTTTTATCCTCACGGATGTTAAGTGGTCATTGCAAGGGAAGCCTGCATTACAGTTGGAGTCAGGATAATGTCATGACAATTGCAACATGTTTTTGACATGAGATGCTGGTATTTGAGGAGATTAAATCTTTTTCATGCAGTAGATAAAGACTGGAAACAGTTGCAAATGGCATCTTTTGAATTATCATATATTTAGCTTAAATGTAACTGAAATCCTTTTCTAATTAAGAGTTAACCAAACTTTTATAAGGTTACAAAGTAATCAAGTTCTTATCAGTTTAGACTTCCATTGATGGAAACATAAAATTGCCTCATATACATAGACATATCTATATAGATATAGATAAATCTATATATAATATAGAAAGAAAAGAGAGATCAAAGCGTTTTATAGTCTGAAATCACCAGTTTCTTCCCTCTGAGATGTTTAGGTGCAGTCATTGTGCTATAATGGAGAATTAGCAATTGCTTGCTTTGATTTCAGGCAGTGATAGCTGAGAGGTCTCTCATGGCCTTTATGCCAAGGCTTTGCACTTCAGTTTTCATTTTAACATCTCAGCTATCAGCCTCTTCCCTGCAATAGCTGATGTCCTTAACCTGCCTGGCTGGGTGTTAAGCACTAGCAGGAGTTGCACCTGTCCAGATTCCCCCACTTT